AAATTATATTTAATTAACTACGCCGTAAGAGAGTAAACCTCCACACTCTCTTGCAAAGCCATGATTACAGTTCTTTCAGTCATGCCTGTTCAGACCACATAGTCCTCTAACATCATGACGTAAACTTTTATTTCTGCCCCGTTAGAAGGAACAAAAAGGCTCTGCAACTAATCTATCCCACCCATTCCCACTTTCTGGTACAAACCAAAGAATGGACTTACTTTTGGAGGGTAAGTCTGAGTTTCAAAACCAAGTAAAGAATCATAGTTTAAGAATCACTGCTCTAAAAGAAAGTCTTTGTTTCTCTACCTCAGAAGCCCGGAAATTCTGCAGCTCTGGTGTGTAGTGAATACATGGAAAATGAGCATTTTCTCAAAAATCTCTTTTGAGAAAAGATCTCCATAGCACTTGGTTCCAGAGTGGTCAGGAGAACGGGAACTAGCAAAGTGGAGAAATCCGACTGAGCTATAGAAGGAGACACATCAGCAGCAGCAACTACAGCCACGACTGGAGTCCTGCTGGTTGCCCGGTAGTTTATTTAACAGAGGAGCTAAATACTGAGGTGCTGCAAATCCACGTCCTTAAATCTCATTTTCAGATTTCCTCCCATCTTTCTGCCTTAAATTCCTTTACATTTTTAAACATAATTGCCACAAAGTTTATTGTCACCTTAAGTCCCCATCCAGAAAAGTTGTGCATAGTGTGAAATGAAATGAATTCGCCATTGTTAAATTCCCTAGCAGGCAGTGTCTGTGACTTGCCCTAGGCAAAGTGGAGAAAGAATTCAGTAGGGAGAGGCTGTACGGAGAAGGGGGTTAGGAGAGGCTCAAAGAGGAGGTAAATCTTGATGTTCTTCAACCATGTAACAATTGTTACCTTTTTGGTTTCCACCCATCAGTGAGACACCTGGTCAGATCAGGTGTCTGGACTAACATAGAGTTTAACATGCTCTGACTCTTCTGCCTGAGCAAATCCTTGGGGAAAGCTGCTGGCTGAGCCAGGCTTAGCAGAGGAGTTGCTTATCTGATAAATTTCAGAATTTGGGCTCATTGTTTGGCTCAACAGTAAGATTTTCCCAGGAATACTAATGCATTCTTCTTCAAAGGATAGGTGATTCAGTTAAGGACCAGATCAGTGGTCTCATATGCTACATATTTTGGGTCAGGATATGACAAAGGGATAAGAAACCATTATTTTGTCCAGTTTTCATTGGACATGTTAGCCACTTGGATTGGTTTAATCTTGTTATGTTTTTCGATGAATATTTTTTTTTTTTATTTTATTTTATTTTTATTTTTTTTTTTTTTTTGAGACAGAGTCTCACTTTGTTGTCCAGGCTAGAGTGAGTGCCGTGGCGTCAGCCTAGCTCACAGCAACCTCAAACTCCTGGGCTTGAGTGATCCTTCTGCCTCAGCCTCCCGAGTAGCTGGGACTACAGGCATGCGCCACCATGCCCGGCTAATTTTTTACATATATATATCAGTTGGCCAATTAATTTCTTTCTATTTATAGTAGAGACGGGGTCTCGCTCTTGCTCAGGCTGGTTTTGAACTCCTGACCTTGAGCAATCCGCCCGCCTCGGCCTCCCAAGAGCTAGGATTACAGGCGTGAGCCACAGCGCCCGGCCCGATGAATATTTTAATTGTAATGAATCTGAAGTATTTATAGGATCATGCTGCTCAAAAAGTTTCCAAGAGTTTGACTCTGAGTCCTGCATTGTCTTGATCTCTGTGCTCCACCATTCTGTGAAAGGGAAGAAATGGTAATGAATTTCCCTCAACAGGCTATTTGAATGAGAGCCTAAGAGTCAGGAGTCCCGTGTAGCATGGTTTTGATTTCTACCCCTTCCTAATTCCTCTGACCCTATTACAATTTGAATCTGGGTATATGTTCTTTTCAAAGCTAGTAGAAACGGGAATGTTCATTGACTTGACCGAACCTCTGATAGTAATCAGTTCTGAAAGAAAAGTGCACTTCTGATAATATCACAAAAAAGAGTATTTGTCTCTCAGAAAAGAATTATGAAAATTAACTTGTGATTTATGCTTTTTAAATGAGTAATAAAGCAGGTGACAGTGCATTTTGTTCCAAAGCATACTGAAGTAAAAAGAAATGTCAGAAATTCCACTATGTTTTCTGAGTCTTTGGACTTCATCTGTTTGCTTCCTTCTCCAATCAAACTACTAGAAAGAGAAGCCCATAGTCATTTGTCATTTACAGCTCGACCCACATTCTGCCTTCTCCCCCCAGCCTCACTAACACCCCACACCCAGTTACAGCTCTTCTTGAAAGAAGCAGTTCTTTCAACGTTTGTGCTTTGAAACGTTATCCGGGTCTACGCATCCTACAATGTTGACAATGCATTCCTTCACAATTTCTGCCTCACCAAATGGCTTCCCTTTCCCCCCCAAGTATATAAGTTGCTTCAGTTACTTTATAAATTGCTTCAGTGGCATTATTTCCAGGTCTTATTGCTGCTTAAAAGAATTGTCTTTACTTTTGTTTTTCATCTTAATATTGCAATTCCTAGTCCTCATTAAAAAGTGTTTTTTTCTTTCAGCATTCTCTTGGTCTTCTTTGACATAATGGGCTGTTAAGCAGACAGAATTGAAAAATACTGTCAAGCTATGCAACTATTCACAAATTCCACTTCAAACAGAAACACAGTGCACTGTTGTCAAAAGGTGATAACAGACTGGCGTACTCGCCCCCTATAAACGCTTGCCAACCAGCCTTGTGGGGTACTGGCAGCAGTCAGACAAAGGAAGTTAGATCTAAATCATGAGCATAGCAGCTATCAATTTAGCCTTTATAGGTCACTAATATTCCAATTGTGGTGGTCAATCAGGGAAGACTATTTTGTTGAAACTTATTTTAATCTTTGGTATTTTAAATACACTCATTTTAAAAATAAAAAATATAAAGGATGAACAAAAATATATTAATAAAAATGAGAGGATTTATTCTGTAAAATTTGGATTCAGTCAAAACACCATACTTAAGGACCTAGAAGGCCACATGTGGCCTTAAGTCCGCAGGTTTCCCACCCCTGGTCTAGAAACAAGAGAAGATACTATTAGAGTTGTGCTTGGGACATAAGAGCAGTTGTGAGCTGAACAGAGTGCAGTGACCATTCACCTGTCGGGGTGATTCCTATACTTCCCACTTCTCCATGTATCCTTAAATAAACCCCCATCCATAAAACTTATGTTTTTTCTCACGGCCTAATTCCACCCCACTTCCTCATGTGTTTCACAAAATTGCACATTCATAATACTCACCAAAGCACTTGGAAAGTTTGGGAAGTGCTTTTTTTTTTGAGACAGAGTCTCACTCTGTTGCCTGGGCTGCAGTGCCGTGGCGTCAGCCTAGCTCACAGCAACCTCAAACTCCTGGGCTCAAGCAATCCTCAGCCTCCCAAGTAGCTGGGACTACAGGCACACACCACCATGCCCTGCTCGTTTTTTCTATATATTTTTAGTTGGCCAATTAATTTCTTTCTATTTATAGTAGAGATGGGGGTCTCGCTCTTGCTCAGGCTGGTTTTGAACTCCTGACCTTGAGCAATCCTCCTGCCTCAGCCTCCCAGAGTGCTAGGATTACCGGCGTGAGCCACCATGCCTGGCCAGGAAGTGCTTTTTTTCCATTTCAGACTTTTACAGTGCAAAATTCCTCCATGATCTTGCCTCTTGTCTCCAGCTTCATATGAGTCAGATTTGTTCTTCCCCAAAAGAATGGGGAGTTCTTTGTAACAGGACTGGCACCCTTCTCTCAAAGTAACAATGGGAACACAGGTGATTGCTCTTAATGACCTGTAGTAACCAGATTGTGATGTGGGTTCCCTACTCTATGCCTATGTGTGCACTGCTCCATGTGCCTGAAAAGCCTTGAAAAGGGAGGTCTTTTTCACCTGAAATATTTATATTCTTTACAACTAAATTATGGTGTCAGTGAAGACTTCTTTGACATGACATCCCTCTCCTTCATTGGTCCCCAGCAGACAGGTACAACTTGTCTCTCTGCTCTTCTGATGCATGCACAAGCCTGCTATTGTTTTTAAATCCTGCCATTCTTTCTCATTAGACTGAACAACTGCAGGACTAACTAGCTCATTCTTGTGTGATCCTGCTTAGGGTACATAGAATGTGTGCAAGAAATCAATACACTTATTGGAGGAAAGCTAGTGCAATTGCTGGGAGACCTCTGGAAGCCATATGGTGGAAAGAAATTAGAGCCAAGTTCTGAATCTGGTTCTGAAGCATCTTAACCCCTATGTCTGATTTTCCACATCTTTAAATGTGGTTGGGTGTTTAAGGGTTCCATCCAGTGACCTCTATGGTCCTTGGCTCTGCTGTGAATGCATTCCAAGACTGGCTCTGGAGCTTGCTCCCACTCACAACCCATCCCCACTCCACTGCGGCCAAAGTAAAGCTGCAGGCTGCCTTGGTGACATTACAACCCTGGTTACAGTTGCCCCTTAGTGTCCATGGGGGATCAGTTCTAGGACCCTGAGTACACTCAAATCTGCACATACTTAAGTCCTGCAGTATGCACTGCAGAACCATGTATATAGGAAGAGTTGGCCCTTTGTATACTAGGGTTTCACATCCCAGTAATACCTTATTTTCAGTCAGTGAATCTGTGTATAAGTGTACTCATGCATTTCAAATCCATGTTGTTGAAGGGTCAACTGTTTAGAGTTCATGCCATGGCTCTAATTATTTGTTGTTGTTGTTGCTTAATTTTGTAGAGTAGACAAGAAATTTGTTGTTTAATATGACACAGAACCCATTCCTACATAATCAGGGTAGGCTTCAAGAGGTAGATAACATAGATCATATCAGTCTGGAGGCAGATCCACATAAAATTTTAATTTCAAATATATAAAACTATGTTCAGTAAAGGAAGCTTGAAGAGGCAAAATTCCTTAGGCTACTATGCCCCAAAAATATTTGTGATCTACATTTATGTATTTAAAATTCAAAGACAAGAGAGAACAGTATGTAAAACAGATTTTATTTGACATGCATGTATACCAAATATAAAATTAGTTTAGCTGATAGATCTAGGTTGGGTAAAACTCTCTAACTATATCATATAAAACAAAGATTAGCAACCATTTCTTATGTTTCTCAGCTACAACAAGACTTTTGCCATTGCTATAACTTGATGTTACTGGAAAATCTTTTTGATATTTGCCATTAATAGTATGAAATAAAGTGGAAAAAATAAGAAATATATCTATATTCTGAAAATTAAAAAATTTTAAACAACAAATCAATGCTTACATGCTTGTCCTTAGAAGGAAACACATCTATCTGAGCAAAATCAGGAGTATACAATATACACATAGTCATCAAGTTAAATTTATGTTGCAGGAACCAACTTTCTGGCAGGCAAGAAAGGTGCATGACTCTTCCCTAACCAAGAGTTATTCATGAGTCAAATAAAAGGATTTTGCTAAAGTCTGCTGACTCTTCCTTGACATGTTTGCTCTCCACCCTCACAATTACAGGGATTTGAGAGATTGAGGCCCTTAGCTAGTATCTTAATAGGTCCCTTTGTCCAGTCTTGCCCCATGCCCCCATCCTTCTTCCATACTTTTGGAAGTTACACTTCTGAACTCCAAATTTCCACTGCCTGTTTATCAAGCCCAGAAATCTTAATCTACACAAGACCACTGTTTTCCTTTTCTGACATTTTTTCCCAGCACTCTTGCTGTGCTCTAGCCCCTGAATCACTTGCACTTGCCTGAATGCCCTGTGCGGTTTCATGCTTCCAGTCATCACAGCCACATGCTGGGCATGTTGCAGGCTGTTGGCACACACTTGCTCATGCTGTTCCCAATGCATGGAATGTCCTGCCCCAAATCTGTCTCCTGGAAAATATCCACATACCTTTGACAGGTCTTGGTACATGGTCCCTATAATTTTGGCCTCATCAGTTAAAACTAACCTCTTTCTGTGCCTTCAATCGGCTCTATCTGGATTTCAGTCACCTGAAGTCTTCATACAGTATGTCTAGTAGGCCATAAACTTTGAGGACAAGGTCCATGTCTCATTCATCGTTTCATCCCTCACACCTGCCTGGTACTTTACACTTGCATTGATTCGTCTTAGCCCCTACTAGTTCTATTTGGCCTTCATCTGTGGCAAAGAGCAAAATGAGCCAGAAACAGCTTCATCAGACACTACTTGCTTATTATTTTACATGTTACAATAGAAATATAAGGATCATAAAGATGAACCTTAATGGATGAAGCCTAGAGAAATTTATGAACTGCCTCAAGTTAGGAAACACATTAATGGCTCAGGGTTTCTTCCATAGCCACAATCGGGAAGATGTGCTTCTTATGCTACCTTGTTAAGCAACTAACCAAACAGAGCACAACAAAACAAATGGAAACACTCCTTGTCTCCTAAGAAGTTCAACAATTCTAGTATTGTGGAACATTTAATAAATAAAACCTTTCTTCCAGTTCCCTCTCCCCATAAGCAGTTGAACACATCAGTGTTCAGCTCACACTATTTCTGAGCTTAATGCTGGCATCATGTCCTGAATATAGATTTCTCTCACTCTTCCTGCAGATTTAATTGCTCCTTCCCCTATATGTCCCATAACACTATATACACCCTATTATAGCTAGTTAAAAAATAATAATATTAATTCTAGACCATGAAATTGCAACAGATCAGTGCCTGGCATATAATGAGCACTCAAATGAATGAGGAAGTGAATCTTGCTTTAATGAAGTGAGTCAAGGCTAATCACGTTAATTCTAACCTTAAGAACTTCCTTGGCATTTAATGAGGGATCATTATCTTTGAACATAGATTTAATTTCAGACAGTAGATTTTGCTGCCTGCAATATTAAAGTTTGCAAAAAGGGTGTTAATTATTTATGAGGACACTATATTTTTAAGAAATGAATTTATTTAAACTATTGCTATAAGGGTTACTTAAACAGTAAGTGAAAAAACCACTAACAATGGTTCTCATAGTGATTGTTTTTTATGTATAAATACTTAAGATAATTTTAAGTGGTTGGAATAGGCCCATACAACACAAATATTCTGTGGTGTTGCATTTAATGTTTTAAGTATTTACATTAAAATTATCTAAAGTTTAATTATTAAATTCCAGCTGAATATGTTGTGGGCATATCATTTAACCTAAAATGTGCTTTTGAAATTTATTCTCATTGGATCACTGACAGGTTAACCCCACCCTACCCCTACCACTCATAATATGATTCATTATTTTGTGATTCTTGAGAGTTAAGAAAGCAATTTTAATACCTGAAATGCAAGTCTAGCCTGTGGCTTCATTTTTAGAATATGGTAATTTTGCAAAAGTGCTTGAATGCTTGTTTTAACACTGCTTCATCTCAACTCTGATATTGTAACTGTCTCACTGAAATAAACTTACATGACTGGCAGTACTAAGACACTTAAAAATTATTTCAAACACTAATTTCCTTTGGTCCTACTTTTTTGGGTTTTATATACTGCTGTGACATTCTTTTAAGGACATAAGCTTTAATTAGAAATGACACGGAGAAAAGTGACTAGAAAACAAATCTGAGAGCTTTTAAAAACTTCACAGTATAATAGTAAATGCTTTTAAAGATAATCCATCTGATGACATCTATGCAAATTAATACTACAAATTCAAAGACATAAGAAAATAGAGTGGACTTACTTTTATATTCATACCTCTACTGATGCTCTATAATAACCACACTAGTATGATAATGAAGCAATCAACAATTTGTCTCAGGCTTTGTGTATATGGATATCTGTATACTTCTTTGACACACATACACACCCCAAATACACCAATTACTTTAATCCTATGTACATTTAACTCTCAGAGTGATCTGAAGTAACCACAGTGGCACATAAAAGGAGAAAACATAATGAATTCCAGGCTTCATAGTAAGTAAAGCCAAACCATATTGTTCAAATGATGCTATAGTAGCTATTTTTTACAGGAAAACACAGATTTCTACACTTTCTGGTCAGTTACTACGTAATTAAAATTGAACTTTGCTAATATTGGTTTCAAGTAATGAAAATAAAACATTCTTGACTTAGGATTACATATAATACATAAAAAAAACAGATTGTGAGCTTTTTTTTTGAGCAATCATAAAACATGTTCTCATCTGAATGAGGGAAGGAAATACTTTCAGTTTAATATGTTTTTCAATGAAACAGAATAAATTTACAATAAAGTTAGTGATCTCATTCAATAAGTCTTCCAATCTTCAAGTTCAGCCTAACAGAATATCAGTGACTACAGGAGGGAAAAAAACAAGACAAAACATAATCTCCTGTGGCCACCATCTTAGGGGCTGGTTTTCTTGTATTGCTGAATTCTATCACAAGCTATCCTGTTTCCAAGGTTTGGACAGTACTTTAAAACAGAACTGCCTGAGAAGATTCAGAAAGCCTTTGTTCTTGGGCTTACACAGTAAGCACTTTGTGTGATTCTTATCACATTTTTATCCAGAACACAGTGTTGTAGGTCACATTTTTCTCAACAATGCTTTTATACTGATTGGTGCTCTATAAATATAAACATATTTATAAACAGGATACACACTGATGTGGGGATATGAAGTTAGCCAGCCATCCATAAGCAGAATGGAATAAAAATTGCAGGAAGAGTAGTATATGATGCCAGGCCCATACAGACTATAGATGCCAATCCCAAGACTGCTGAAGCAAGAACACTTCTCTGATCACGAATAATGATCTTCACATTCTCACAAAACTGGAAAATAAAATTTAAGAATATTAGGAAAGGTAGCTAAACCCAAGAAGAACCACATATAACCAAATAACAAAACAGGATCCCCAGCTATTTTTTGTCTACCAGAAGAATTAGAAATTCCCTTATGACCTCTGAAAATATTTATGATGCTAACAGTCTAGTTTCTTGATCCCACATCCTACAGTGGCTGAAATGATCTATTAGACAATTGAGTAAATAATGGCAGTTGCCATTTGTAAATATAGCATTTTATAGAAAACCATAGAAAATATAACCACATAAAATCATTCAGGATTAAAGGTTAAAAACAACATTACACTGCCTATCAATAACAATAACATATTCTAAAATTATATGAGCAAGGATGTCTTTAATCTTGAGTAAAAAGAATGGCATATGGCCTATTCAGAGGGAGATTTAATTCTTCCAATTCACCATTCTAAAATTTGGTGATACCAATGATAAATTTCGTATAAGTCTCAAAATTTAAAGGCATAGGAAATCTAATTTTGTTGTCATCTCCCATTCCTTGCCTAAATAAATTAAATTCATCATTAATTATGTGGCATATAATTAGCTGCTAGAAATACAGATAAATTAAATATGGTCTTTATACCTGAGGAATACATTCTTCTAATATGCATAAATTTTTTTCCTTAGAAAAATTATTTTCCTTAGAAAAATAATTTTATTTAGAAGTAATGGCTTATGTTTGAATTCTGGCTCCACCTCTTATTGGCTGTGTGATGTCGGGTAAGTCACTTTAACCTTCCAGACTACCCTCTTCTCCTCTTCCTTGGGAATACCGAGGTTGTTATGGAGAACAAATGAGATGTTTTATGCTAAACTACTCTGTATTCTTCTATGCACTGTATAAATGTGAGGTATTACAATGATTATTATTAATACTACATCTGTCAACAATTATCTCTATCATAGCACTGTCTGTGCCAGAATTTAACAATTAACTGCCATTTTTATATGAGTTTTGCTATTTGTACTTATTTTAGGCTCTTTGTCTAGACATGGCATTGTATGTGCTTTTAGGGTTTTCTATAGTGACTTACATAGTACCAGACAGCTGGGTTTCCAAATTCTTAATAGGTAGAATGAACAAGTTCAATATATTTTAATATACCACCTTGAGAGTATGATTGTCTCTGTCCAGTCACACAATATCTAAACAGCTTTGAAACATCCTGTTATACAGATGTTGGCGTGCTTATAGGTCAAACATATGATTTTCTCTTTTTACTAAACTAACAAGGCATTGAGTAAGAATTACTCTATCTGAAAGTGGTGAGGATCAAACCCAACAAAGTTTTCAGGACAGTGAAAAAGAGGAGGTTGGCAAATAATGGAAGATATGATATTAAGGTAAGTGAGTTGTAGATACAGTTATACTTGTTTCACCTTTTCCCCAATAATTTATAGTTAATAATGTCCTGTTCCTGTTCCCATTGCTGTCAGCCCAGAAGGCATCTTTAGTGGTGTTTAAAGGTAGGAAATTTCTAGAAGGTATGGAGAAGTATGTAGGGACACTTTCCCCTGAGCACTAATTCCCCAGAAAATAAAGGAGTATTTGCAATTATTTGGGGCCATGAAAAAGCAGTATTAGTAAAGTAAAAAAAAAAAAAAAAATTATAATAGAAAAAAGCATGAGGAATAATAATGGCTAGCTGAAGGGATTTTTAGTTTATAAAATACTGATTGTCCATAGCAATATAAAAATCCCATAATTTTATGATTTCCAAACTTGCAGAGTATTACCACAAAGAAGTAAATGTTCTTTTCCAGTTCATTTTCAAACTAATTACAGTGTTTTTGAGGGAAAGCATTCTTGAGAGGTTTTATAAACTTGAATTCAAGAGACAACTTTGCAACTCTCATGCTAAGTTGATAATAGTTGTATATATGGAGAACTCAACAATCAGACCCAGAGTCAAATAATTCCTTATGTTTCTAAAAAGTAGAAACCAGTCCTCCTTCACTATTAATGACCTACTTCTCTCAAGGCATGTTCAAAAAACAGTCCTTAGAATTAGAAAATTTGGGATAAGGATTTTTTTCCCGGGAAATCTACTCTGTGGCCAAATTGTTTGTTAAACCATTCAAAGTGAAGACAAAAACTCAGTTTCACAAGAGGTGCTATGCAGCAACAGCAATTAAAACTCCTCTACTTCTGTAAAACCCGACAAAGTTTCCAAAGATGAAAAACTACTCCAACTAGTTATTTATGCAGATTAAATATTTTACTACCTTAAAAAAATGCTTTGACTGTTTTTCTGTAGAAATGTATAATACAGTGCTATATGTGTTCCATGAAACAGTTACTCCTAATTACCAGATAGAAATACTGTTTTTCCTTAGAGAAATTATTTGCTTGGTTCCTAAGTAAATCTGACATGTTTCCTTTTGTACACTTTTGGAGCCAGTGTTTGTAAATGTGGTGAAGTTCATTTCTAAACAGGCCTGGACTGGAGTTCTGATTCTTGAATCATTGCACAGTGCTCTAACTGTATTTTTATTTTACTTGGAAAAGAATTCCTAGATTGAGTCTGTTGTGGCTCTATAAAATCTACCAGGAGTTTCATATACCAAAGTATAAAAGCAAAATACTGCCATGCTCTGCCACAGAGGAGAGAAAAAGATTTTCCCAAATTGGTCAAAAAACTAGTCAAGATATGGAGCAATTAAAAATTGGTTACATGGACTCAAATTCTCTTGGTCCAAAAAATATCTAAACATGACTAGTAACACTAAAAGCTCACTATGTGATTACCCAGGTTTCCATTAGGAAAAGTAAACATTAACAATTACTGTCTTTAACAAGTGCAGTGAAGGCTGAGAAAGCTTCCAATTGCAAATGAAGCTGCAGGCTTAAAATGTTAACTGTCTTTTAAAGCTAAGAGGTTTTAAAAGGAAATAAAAATCCATTTGTCCCCTCTGGATTTGTGGCTATTTTATTAATCTTAAATTCTAATGCTGTTTTTTCAAAGTACTCATAAAAATTACCCTCCAACATTTAATAGCTCTTCTTGAAAAATCAATTGTTTTGATCTCTGGGCAACCCATAAACAATCTAATCTAACTTTAGGGCTAACGTGTAAAAGAATACTTAGCAATAAGGAAGTCTAGATGCAGATTAAACCCAAACCCAGAAAGAATTCAGAATACCAAGCAAAAGACGTCTCTGAAGTGCAGGCACAGGAATAGGGATTTACCAGGGAGTCCCTCTTACTGGTAATTTTGATAATTTATATTTAAGCAAAGGAAATTCACTGTGCAGCATACAAAGGGAGAAAACTGCATACTTCTTTATTGTTGTGGATTAAATTTTGAACTCTAGACCCCTTCCTTCCAATTGAAATTCTTGGGAAAAGTTGCAAATATAGGACAACGGATTTCCTATGACTCCGGGCCCCCCAGTCACTTGCCCTTTGTCATTTGAACTATTGTGGGTGGACACCCTGATGACTTCTGCAGCAATAACTGGGCAGCTCTCTGGAATCTCCGTAAGCGGTCCTGTACTGCCACACCCTTTTACTGCTCATTCCGAGATATTCTGCAAGGCACATAGTCATTTATTTATTTATTTAGCGTCCCTTAGGAACACCGGAGCTTTCCGTGCTTAATCTAGAACTCTAGGAATGGTGTGGAAGGGTGGGGGAGGTATCCAGGAAGATCCCGGCTTCCAGGGAAGAGAAAAGCTCAGGGATGGGAGGGGGCATCCCACCTCCCTGCGAGTCACGCGTCATACCTTGTCGGCCTGGGGGCTGACCGGAGTGCCGTATCTGCAGTAGGTCACGAAGTGCTCGCAGTTGTCCCACAGTAGGCTGTAGGAAGTTAAGCCTATCCGCTTCTCAGCCCTACGCGCCACCTCCTCGTTGAGCAGCGCCTTCTTCTTGAGGGACTCGTCCAGGTGATTGACCAGGATGTTGGCTCCGTAGGCGAAGTCCTCCACTGTGTCCACGCGGATGCTGGCCACTTTGACAAGGACGCCCAGGATGAGGCGCTTGTTGGAGACCACCTTCTGCGTGCGCCCCTTGTCGTCCGTCAGGGCCAACAGGATGTCGGGCATCAGGTGGGCGACACGGTTATCACCCAGGTAGATGCCATAGTGGGTCAGGTGGGTCCGGGGCACCTCCAGCACGTCGCCTCGGAGGAAAGAGCTGATCTCATAGAATCTGTTCCTCCCTTTGTCTTCGCCGGGGGAGCCCAAACTGAAGAGCTTGAAGTTGGCGATGAGGAGCAGCTTCTCCAGGAGTAGGGACACCACCTCCAGCATCGGGTTCTTCATCCTGTGGGAAGGGGGAGCCTTGGAGGGGAGCCCCCGCCGCTCTGGCACGAGCAGGGTGAGCTCGCCAGACAGGGGCGCTGTGCCGCTGCTCACCTGCAGGCCAGGTGGGCTACAGCGCGAGGTACTGCGGCCGCCGAGGAAAGAGGAAGGAAAAGAAGAAGCCTGGAGACTGGCTCAGCCAACCCGCAATGGGGAGTGAGGACAAGGAACCGGTGGCTGGCCGCGGGAACAACACCGCGAGCGGTGCCGCAGGGAGCAGACGAAGGAGCACACCTGGGGCCGAGCGCGGTGCTCAGAAGTGCCACCTTCGCCGCGGCCTTTTATGGCCGTCGAGGGGGCGGGGCCGAACGCCGTCACAGACCCGGCGAGCGCACTGATTGGGCGCCGGCGGCGAGCCGGGTTCGCAGCGGGGAGGGCCGGGACCGCGCTCTCCTTGGAAGGGGCGGGCCGACGCCAGGCTCCGGTTCCGCGCCGGGGTCCCTTCCCGCGGCCGGCTCCCTCTCGCACGGGAAACCTAAGCACTTCCGGCCTGGAAGCGGCCGATTCGGGAGGGTGGAGGCCCAAGGCGTGCCCGCGCGAAACGTCCTGCACCTGTTGGGACTGGGGCGCGTTCCTGGCACTTTGGGGTCATTTTTGTTGGAATGTCCGCGCCCGCGAGATGTCTGAGTAGGGCGACCTCCCTCTGAAGGGACGACTATCCCGAGACCTCGGCTTACTGAAGAGACAGCATTGACTCTGCGAAGTGTGCGCGCCTCGTAAGCCTGCGGATTCTTTTCTCTGCGGATGTCCCTTTTCTCCCCCAGGCTTCCCGCGGGCGCCCGGGCGGGGTCGTGCGGGGTCGTGCGGGGCCGCGTGCGGGCGACCGAGCCCGAGGTCCCTCCGCGCACCGAGGCACCTGTGGCGGTTGCGCGTCCCAACGGTCAGCATAACAAAAACGGCGCGGCTCCAACGTCCCCCGGGAAAGCGGGATTTGTGTCGAGTCTATTTCCCCGGCTGTAGGATCACAGGCATCCAGCTTCGCCTAACCCACCAAAACATTGCCGCTTCTTTTCTTTTCTTTTTTTCTTTTCTTTTCTCCTTTTCTTTTTCTTTTTTCTTTTAAGCGCAACAGCCCGGAGATGACCAAAGGAGGCAGAACACTTGGATGGGGCACTGGGTTCCCTGCCCCTGAGCCTGCGGCCCCCACACACGCCCCCTGCATCCCCGAGGGCGGCCGGGGAGCTGCCGATGCGCCCCCGCTCCGGGCCCCGCACGAGGCCAGCGGCCGCGCCGAGTCCCGCGCTTGTCCATCCTTATGCAAATGATTACAGGCCGCGGACAAAGCCGGAGTGGGGGGTCTCGGACGGCTCCACAAAGCCGCCCAGCTCGGGGCTAGGAGGCTCCATCCGGGAGCAGACTCCCTGCTCGCCTGGGAGAGCGCATTCTCTGCGGGCGATGGATGAAGGCACATTCATCTTACCTGGGAAACGGAGGGGGCCGCGGAGAGCAGGCGAGGCGGGAGGGGGCTCCGCGCCCACCCCCGCCCAGGCTGCAGTCCCCGACCTGTCCCCGTCGTCCCGCTGGGCGACGACTTTTGTTCATTTCACAAGCGACCGCGCATCACACGGTAGTCCCAGCGGAGAGGACAAGCTCCCACGAACGGATGGAAAGAGGAAGGTGGGGAAGAGGAGAGACGGTAGTGGACGTGGAGATTTTTTTTTTTTCGCATTTTGTTTTCCCGGTCTTACCCCCGAAATTTACAGAAAAGCGGCAAGGCAGCAAGCGACTTGCTGAAAGTAACCAAACTCCTCCGCACAAGGGTGCTTGTTAGCGCCTAGCAGCACGCCAGCTCAGCGCGCTTCTTTGGAGCCGGGGAGTCTGCGGAAATGATTCCGAGTCGGATGCAGACCGGTGCGCGGCGCCGCGGCCCCGAGGGCGAACCCGCGCGCGGACCGCTCCGGTGCCGCGGGGAGCGCCGCTCCGAGCCTCTGGCCCCTCGCTGGCCCAACGGCGGGGGATCAGAGGGGACGGGCCGGTGAGCGGCTTCCGTCCACCCCTGGTGTCGCCAAGGCGGCTTGTACCTGGGACTGTCTCCACCTGGGGAGCTTGCGGAAGACAAAAGCGAGGAGAATAGCTGCACGGCTCCACGGGAACTCTTTTAGAGCCAAAAATATCAAGGCGGAATCACTCAACAGCTGCATCCACACGCACCGCGTTTTTGGAAGAGAACGGGCAGCGCCGAGCTGATTTGTATTTGATTTTTTTTTTTTTACTTTCTCTCTCTCTGGGGTGGGGGGGAGGTCAGTTTTCTGGCCGCCTTCAGAAAAGGAGTCACTTCAAAAAGAAAGCGAGGGCGACACGAGACCTGAATCTGCGTGTGTTGCTCGAGATGCAGATGTCCGGCCGCCTTGGAAATGAATGCGGATGGGGAGCGTCCCCGGTTTCTTGAAGGTTATTATTTGCCTCTGATAAATCCCTATTTGCAAGCCCGAATGTTATGCCATTCAGTCACTTTTATTTTTCTCAGAGGAACTGCCCGAAAGCAGCCCTGTCCCCTGCTCGGCCCACTGGGAATTCGGCTTCTGGCTCCCAGAAGGAGGCAGTGGGACGTCTTAATTTTTCTGATTTCTAGTCTCCCAAACCTCGTCAGGAGAGGTTAGCGACAAGGAGGCAGCTTTTCAGCTGAGAAAATGTCTTGTGGAATGACCTCTTGTTGCTGGACTGCTTGCCCTGGTCAAGGATCATCGCAAACTTATCTTGCAAAAGGCAACTTCTTGACGTTCTCAAAATAGCTTATATTTCTGTGGCTGAGTGGTCAGTTTTTGATGGCTCCCTAGAGACACATTTCATAAAAAAATATGTTCACACCCTCATAGGCTCACGAGGCCACTCATACTTTCCTGCCTGCATCAATTTTAGTTAAACAAAGGGAAGATTATCACTGATAGGTGGAAAGGCCCCAGAGAAATGCAACATTGGAAAGTTCTCCGAAACTAGAAACTGTCATAAGGAGACAGTTGCTAGAAAGACCTCTCCCTCCCTAGATAGTAAGAAAGGCGGCTGCAATGATAAGGTTCCATGTGCAAACGTGCCTTAAATATATACATGGGAATGGGTTGCCAGGTCTGGCAGGGAGATTTACAAAGAGCCTAGATTTTCCTGGTCCACATATATAGACTGTGCTGAGCAGTCAACCCTCACCTTGGCCACCCTCTCCCTAACTGCCTACACAAGAAGTAACTGAGGCTTATAACTTTGTTTGGTCACTGTGCTAATGTGTGGATCTGGTCTCAATCACAGATGTCTTTTGCCCCCACCCCCCAGGTCCTTAACCATCACTGGGGAAGGCCTGACCTTCCATCAGACTAAGTACCCATCATTCATTATTTATTGAAAACCTGCTACGTGGCAGGTGCTATGCCCAGCCCTGGAGGTTTGGCAAAATACCTAACCCTAAGCTTAGATCCCACACCCTTTCTTTGTAGTTTGGATGTAATTTCCCCACTTCCCTTGTGCCATAAGGTCCAATTTCTAACATGAGCAATTTTACTGGGATAGTGAGAAAGGGCTGGTTAAGGTTCTGGTTAACAGTGTCCCTCACCAGGAAGCCTCCTGCACTGGAGTGGCCACAGAGTCCTGCACCCTCCTTGGACACATGAATCTGGGGTGGGAACTTCAATGTCTTACCCCAGGGCACAGAGTCAGGAGCAGAACCAGCGTCCCAGCTTTCTTATCTCTGAGATCTTCTTTTCCCTGAGTTCTAAGCCTGCTAAATTTGGTTTTGTAAATTGCATATTCTAAAATTCTTGTTTGTGGATTTTTTTTAGACTACTAAATCACTGGGCTTATAAATAATGATAATGTTAAAATTTGTTTAATTTTTTTCAGAGCTATCCATCTACCTTCAGTTCGTTTACAGATGCTCGGCACTGATTCCCCTGGACAAAAACAGGGACAGGAACAAGCTCACTCCAAGGGTGTGGGAAGAACAAAGGCTTTTGTGAACTTTCTTCTGGCAGCAGAGGAAAAAGAGCAGACACTTTTTTTGTGGAGCCTCCTAACTCAGTGCCACATGGAGTGTTATGCCAATAGGAATCAATTACCCCCTGGGAGGAGACTTTCCCGGCTTCCTTCCTGGTGGCTGGCACCTTATTAGTGAGGACCTCTCTCTCTCCTATTGTTTTAGAAAGATTAAAGCCTGCAGCTTCAGTTAGTCATGTTGTTGTTGTTTGTTAACCATAAAATAAGAACACTGAACAAAACAAAGAATTTACATTTAGATTATGAAGAAACATGACCCAAAGGAATACAGCTCAATCTAAAATTAACAACAGGTTGAGGCAGCTGTGGTGATGAGAAAGGAGACGGAAAGACAGAAACCCAGGGTTGAAGGCCTGGACGTGCAATTTATGGCTAAATAAATTCAGAGGAGTCACTTGTCACCTCTGAGCCTCAATTCTGCCTTTTTATAATATAATGGGAATAATAGTTCAGATGGCTATTTTGAGGATTAAACAGATCTAATATATTGCAGCAGTGTACGGAAATGCCCAATGCAATGAAGCCTCTATAATATTTGTATTATCCTTCAGAGGAACAAAGTAAGGCAGGGGAGCTTTTCCATTTCTGCTTTGACGGCACAGTCATCCAAGAATGCAGTGTAGACAGAGGGTATACTTTAGCTCACAGACCCTCTCTGAAGACTGGCACAAAGGGACAGGGGTGAGTAGAAAGTAGGCAAGTCGGGGCTTTGGAGTTGAAGGAAACGTGGAGACCTGAGGACACAATCAGTAGGCAGCAGGCACACAGGGGTCACACTCAGGGGACTGGGAGCCCTGCTGCTCTGCCTGCTCGCCAGCAATGAAGTGGTTTATATTTAATAATTCATAAAAACATTAAAACCTGTCATTGTTTTTTTTTTTGAAAAAAAAAAAAAAAGCCTTCCACAAGATACAAAACACCCCAAACGTTCATTTTAGAATGATAAAATACCTAGGAATGACTAAAAGTTTTGTGACACTCACAAAACATAAAGCATATTTTGCTTTAAAATATAAATAATAAATGGCAAGCCATGTTACTTAGTAGTAAGTTGGAATAGATATAGCAACTACTTTATAAATTCATCTTGTTTCCTTTTGATTCTAATTTATCATTATGGAGGCAACAGTAAATATAGATATTGGATAATGTGGGATTGTTAACAAAGGCAAATGTGACCATAGCCTTTGGCTACATATTCAAAAGACAACTCCACTGCCACTGCATTCAGAAAGGAAATGTACAGAGAAATTGGGCATCGCTATCCCTAAATAGAGCAGCAGTGGCAAACACCAGTAATAATAAGTAATAGGAACAGTGATAAATGCCATGCTATTAATTATATTTCAAAATCCTTTTTAAATGGGTAGACATTCTAAAGATATAATGACAGGTAACTGAATGCAGCACTTTCTCTCTTAATATCAGGATTCACTTTAGATACTCATATCTGATAATGTGTGAGGTCGCTGACACCCTTGAGGCCTGACAGTCCTCGTCTGTCCACTGTCCTGCTGTGCCGTGTGCTAGGCTAGAATGAGATGGTATCTTAACTCCTCCAAGTGTTCGTGGTGAACAAATCTATGAAAATCAAACTACTAGAGCCCTTTGGAGAGTCTTAACTGTTGGTGAATTTTCCAGGGAGTAATTACAAGAAAAAGAAGATAAATCGGCTGGGCGAGGTGGCTCACACCTGTAATCCTAGCACTCTGGGAGGCCAAGGCGGGTGGATCACTCGAGGTCAGGAGTTTGAAACCAGCCTGAGCAAGAGCGACACCCCATCTCTACTATAAATAGAAATTAATTGGCCAACTAATATATATATATAGAAAAAATTAGCCGGGCATGGTGGCGCATGCCTGTAGTCCCAGCTACTTGGGTGGCTGAGGCAGGAGGATTGCTTGAGCCCAAGAGTTTGAGTTTGCTGTGAGCTAGGCTGACGCCATGGCATTCATTCTAGCCTGGGCAACAAAGCGAGACTCTGTCTCAGAAAAAAAAAAAATAGAAGATAAATCACTGTCCAGTACTCGGAAAACCTAAATAGGATCCACAATAACTGTTTTCAGAGTAAGATAGAAGTCACTTATAGTCCAGTAATGCAGTAATTACATTAAAAAGAGAAAAAAAACTGAGCAGGCGTTTGGCAGCAGTTGGTGTTGAAAATCAATGGCTCTTTTGATAATATCTTCAATCACACAGAAATTTGAAATGATAATACTGTCTCATCAGTGACTTATAGTAATATATATTATTGACATGTTTTGAAAAAAATAGTGTGTCTTTTTAATTTCTAAAGTTAATTTGAAGGGAGGTCAGTGTATTATTCTGGTATTTTGTAGTTATATTTACTCTTATCTTACTCCATGCTAAAACAAAATTCAAAGTAGTTCAACTATAGCTAATTCATACTCAAATACCTCAAGCATCTATAAAAACGGAAAATTGGATTTTTGTCTCAGACTTCATAATTGGGAGACCTCCAAGTGGGTAGCGCTCTACTTAAGAACCAAGCTGCCTGTGTTCGCCTCTGTAGGCAAAAACTGCATGCTTGAATTAAATACACATATTTTTATTCTGGTTGCCCTCTACAGTGGCTTGCCTTCTAAGTCAGATTACATAGGTTATTTTCATTATATTAACACCTAGACTTTATGTGTAAAGAATGTGAATGGAACTGAAACTGGATCACACAGGATTAAAAAAGAAAATAAATTCAGTAAGTCTTTTATTTAAAGATAAATTAAAAATATGTACAATTGTTTTCATTTACATAGGAGTTTAAATCAGAAATCACAGTGTTAATGTTCAAATAGTTTGACTTTCAAAAGGAATAAAAGGAATATTTGCCCTTTGGTCATAATTATTTCATGTTGTAACCTATATTATACTTTTTCTTTTTCCATCTGTCATTCTTTTGTCTCTATTATTTAATTCCAGGGGATAGGAGTCTAAAAGGGAGGACTCTTATTTTTTTGATGATAACCTCTAAGTATATTATTCCCACTGGCTGTAATCCTTGGGAGCCTGATGACATCCAGAAAATCAGTCCTAAATAAACTAGAACCTGGGGACTGGGGCTCCTGGTCAGCATGAGGGTGGCCTGAGGTCTCTTAGATCACTAGGCTCATCCATTAGTGACCTGCCTCCCTCGGAAGAGTAAGTAACCAAACCAGTGCTAGGAACCACACAGTGCCGGGCCAGACTTAGCAGGTGCTTACCAATAGAGAGGTGGTCCTAGAACTAGGCCCACAGGATTAGCTAGACTTAGACATCCTCAACATTGTTATTAGATTTCCTACTTTCAGTCCTATAATACCCAGAATATTGTCACAACCTACATCGTGATTCTAAGTAAACTGGTTAAATTCTTCATGCCCTGGATCACTCATCTACAGCAAAGGTGACAGTATCCATTCCTTCCCTGATCGTGGCTCTCTTAGTCTCTCCACCGAACTTTCTAGAATTCAATCTAGTGATAGCTATAGATGGCCATTCTGCACACCTCACTGCAAAGCCAAATATAAGATGACAAAGTCCAAACTCCCTGTTTCCTTAAATTATGGTTTCTCCTGTTTTTGTTTCTACTTCTTTAGAAAGGGACTGGATTTTCTTATATGTCTCTTAGGGCTGCACCACTTGGTTTTCCAATAACAATTTCTATTTTTCATCTTTAAAAATAAAGTGAGGCTTGGCCGGGCGCGGTGGCTCACACCTATAATTCTAGCACTCTGGGAGGCCGAGGCAGGTGGATTGCTAGAGGTCAGGAGTTTAAAACCAGCCTGAGCAAGAGCAAGACCCCATCTCTACTATAAATAGAAAGAAATTAATTGGCCAACTAATATATATAGAAAAAATTAGCCGGGCATGGTGGCGCATGCCTTTAGTCCCAGCTACTCGGGAGGCTGAGGCAGGAGGATTGCTTGAGCCCAGGAGTTTGAGGTTGCTGTGAGCTAGGCTGACGCCATGGCACTCACTCTAGCCTGGGCAACAGAGTGAGACTCTGTCTCAAAAAATAAAATAAAGTGAGGCATAATTATGATTAAAACAGTGATTTCACAGTTTTATATTTTTTTTGCTTTAATATTTGCTTCACAGATTATATAGAAAATATATATACAGAAAATATAAAACAGATTTCACTGTTTTATATTTTTGCTTTAATATTTGCTTCATAGATTAAATGATAGAAATCTTGAAGATTTCTCTCTACTTGTTGATGAATCCTCCAATGTAGAATGTCTAGCAGAGATTTACTTTTTTCAGAAAACCAAATTTAGGAAGAATAAGTAACTAAAGAAAAAGTAATTATTGATATTATAAAAGAAGATTTATTGCCAAGAAGCTATTTTAATAATGTGCTTGACCAAAAATGTGAACTTATCAGCAATATTGTTTAGAAATGCATCTTCCTCGAGTAAAACAACATATTCATAAGTGTTCTGAGTTCAGTGGACATTCAATAAAACTCCTACTTACAATTTCATTTAACAATTATATTTATAAGTTACACTTATTTGGATTAGTTAAAAATCTTAAATCTGTTGGCTAACATTCCAAAATTATTTCTTTTTAAGATTTTAGGCTGTATTACCTTGAGTAAAGAGTCAATTTTCTGAGTGATGTTCAAAGTCCCTTTTGACTCTAAAAGTCTACACTTCTTTGAGAAAGACCAAAGCAATACATTTTAGTCTTTCCCCTTAGCCAAATGTTGAACTTATACAATTTTAAAACAAGTCATATTATAATTTATATTTTATTTAATTACTTTAAAATTACAAATTATACATCAAAAATTATATCAATAAAACATCCCCATACTTATATAGCCAAGTAGATTTAAATATTCTATATTATAATATTCCTGAAGGTTTATGTTTGTTGCTTCCAAATAATTAAGACAAAGGGGTAGGCTGCAAGAGCACAGTACAAATGGAAACAGCATGGGGTGATTGTTAAGAATGTTTACTCTGTAGCCAAAATGCCTGCATTTAAATCCTGGCTCTCCTGCTTCCTAGCTTTGTAACCTTGGGCAAATTACTTAACCTCCTCTAGTCTGTTATTTTCTCCTTAAAATGAGGATGTTGATAAAGGTGATGCCTACCTCATAAGGTTGTTGAAAAGATTAAATGAATTAATATTCATCTATTACTTAAGAGCAATACCTAGTAAGAA